TCGCTGCTCGTCGCCAAAATGTCTAAGGCGGAAGGCGAATGTACCCGTGCGGCATCCCCGTCTCTCGCTTGTTGATGGTCTACCGCATCCTCTCTGCCTCCGTCGTCCGCCGCCGAAGGCGATCGAGCGGAGGGTGGCTGCGCGGGGTTGGATTGCGCATCGCGCATCGAGATTTCATCCCGCGGACAGTCACTCCGCTCCATCGTCTGCTGCTCCCTTGATCGGTCCGTGGGGGCTGTGCCCGGCCCGTGCGTAGGCGCATTTGCCGGCGCCTTGTCCGCCGCAGGCGTAGCGCCGCGGACATCTATCGCCGAAGGCGACATGGCCGGGGGCCGCACGCCCGATGTTCCTTGGCCTATAGGCCCTACCGCCGAAGGCGCATCTATCGGCGGACTTCCCGCCGATGGTGCGGCCTCCGCACGCTCTCTGCTCGTATCTCCTCGGCTCGAAGGCCCTGGCGCCGAAGGCGCAAATTGCGGCGCGTGGTGCGCCGGAGGGTCTGGCCCCGAGGGCCGGTGTCTCGTAGGCGGTTCTTCCGCCGGCTCCTTCCCCTTCCTACGTTGGAACGGGGGTGATTCTTGCCTGTGCACAGGCGACCTGTGCACAGGTGAGCGCCTGTGCACAGGCGGACTGCTCCTTCCCACGCGTAAGCGTAGATCCACGTCCACTTGTGTTCGCCGGTCCGCGGAGGCTCGTCCGTCCGCGGAGGTTCGCCTGTGCGCAAACGGAACATCTGTCCGCATCGCACGTGGTAACTCCGGAGGCCCTTGGCCCGTAGGCGGCCTCTCTCCCGACGAGGTTGCAGCGTGGCCCGTTGCTCCTGCGGTCGTCCGCGCTTCCTCTCGCCTCTCTGGCGACGCACTTCCTATCTCCGTCGCAATCGTCGCCGTGTCCGCACTGTCAGCTGGTAACACCAGTCTGCGTGCCTTCTGCTTCGGCCGGCTGTATGGCTCGCACAGCGGCCGCGGTCGAATGGGAGCAGAGGGTTCTTGATGCTGCTCCTCTTCAGACTCTTCCCTCCATCGCCGCTTCCGCGGCACTCGCGCTGCAGGAGTGTGTCTCCCTTCGTCCCTCCGTCTGGATGGGGTCGAAGTCGGTGACTCCTCTGCATCAGTATCGACCTCGTTCTCCCGCACATACTTCCCGGGATGGTCGACGGACAATGGCGGAAAATGTTCAAGCTCCGCCGCTGTCAAACAATTCCGCTGTCGATAAAAATTGATGAGGAAAGGAGAAAGATGGTTTAGAGTTCCCCCCTTCTCCTCAAACGCGTGCTGTCGCATCACCCTGTGCAAGATGCTCGCCCAGTGAATTGGAGTTCCCTCGATGACGCACTCCACAAAAGAGACCTGCCACAATGTGATGTAGCAGGCGCGGTGCGGCTGCAGTAATTGCATCAGCGCCGCGGACAAAGTCCGGCGAAATCGATCCTTGTAATCACGGGTCCTGTACCCATTCTTGGTAGACCTCCCGGTCTTGAACAGCTCCACAAATTGCGCCTCTTCTTGCTTGGTCACCTTGATGCTCTCACTGTCGAAAAGGAGATGCCCTGGCATGCCAGCACATCTTCCCAACGCCTGCGCCCAATCTTGGACTGTCCACCGATCAACATGCGGACGCAATCCGCGCGAGGGTGGTCCCTGTGGCTCTAGCCACTCGCGCACCATATTCGCACAGATGTAATTCCATCCCCATAGCAAGAAATCGAGCTTTCTTGCTATTAAGCGCTCCTCGAAAGCGCGCAGCCCGTTCTGCGGCAGGCGAAGTGGCACCATCCGCAATCTGCTCGGTCTCGTCATTGCGTTCCTGGGGTTCGCTCGCCCGCTCATTCTACTTCCGCACTGCCCGCGTTTCTTTCTCTCTCGGCAAACTCTAATCGCTCTCAATTCCAAATCACGCGCACTCACTTCTCCCTCAATCAACAAGAAATCTCCTGTGCGACGACGTCGAGAATGTTCCGCAGCCAGCAGATGGATGCGCGCAGCGCGCACAAGAGATTGGAATCGCGAATTCAAGAATGGGACGTTCTCCGCCGCCCGGTCGAAGGTCATGGTCGGCTCTTGGTCGTGAAGAACGTCTCACTTGATGGCCGCGCCGGCTGTACGCTGGAACGGTCTTCGCTCTCACGTGCGGCTTCACGCTCCGCCGTCGTCGATTAAACTCTCACGCTCGAATTGGCGGATTTGAACTCCGCGAGCGTGTCACCCTGCGGACATGGGGGCGTAGCGCCGAAGGCGAGTTTTCCGCCTTGCGCGGTACACTTGTTCGTACCGCCCCTCGGCCAATCCCCCTCTGCCTTGACGCGTGTGTCCGCATGTCGGACAAAAATTCAACTCCTGCCTGTGCGCAGGCAGGAGCCTCGGCGGATTCTCCGCCGGCGCGGAACTTGAACATCCTCCTGTGCACAGGCGCTCGCCTGTGCGCAGGCGAATTCCGTCCGCGGCGCTGCGCTGGCGCGGAAGGCGTTGACCGTGGTCAGCCGTCTCCGTCCAGTCTGTCTGTTCCTTGTCTCTCCGTCGGCGCTTCCGCCGCCGCAACTCCGTCCGTCCAAGAGCGCACCCACCCGTGCCGTCCGCATGGTCCGTACCGATTGGATTACTCTGGCGGCTCTTCCGACGTACGCGGCGCTGCGCTGGCGCGGAAGGCGCCGTACACTTTCTACCTCACAAGGCGCATTTCTAGGGCCCAAGGCGGATTTCCCGCCGACGCCGAAGTGCCTGTGCACAGGCGAACTCCTGTGCGTAGGCGGACTTCGCGCCTTCCCTAACCCTACTTCGCCTGTGCACAGGCGAACGCCTTCGTCCGCGCATAGGACAAAACTTGAATCCCCCCTCCGCGTAGGCGGAATTCGCGCCGGTGGCGAACTCCTTCCGCCGTAGGCGACCGCCTCCGTTCCTTCCAGTAGCGATAACTCCCTAAGTCCTCATCCGTTCCAAGCGTTCTTGGGCTCGTTAGAATCAGCGCGTCGAGCTCTTTCCAACGTGCCCCTAACTTGGTCAAGGCGCCCGAGGGTTTACCTAATTACGGGGGTTTCCCTACAGCCGCGGACGCAACCTCCGAAGGCGGGTTTTGCGCCTTGCGCCGTAGAGATCCTAACTGCAGAGCTCGCAGGGAGGATGGTGCCTGTCCTTACTGCGGCACCCCAAATCCCAGATTCTACAAGATCCCTCGAGAATCCCCGCGATCTTCCGGATTCACTCTGTTTTGACGTACCGAAGGCTATTTACAATGCTGCCAGGGTACAGTTTTCCAAAAATGTTTTAATTTCCTCAAAATTGCCAAAAGTGGGGTACCACAACGTCGGGCAGGATATCAGAGACTTTAAAAGCCTCAACATAGTGGACCCATTTACCAAAATACCTTTTCTGCTTGATCCAATTGTGAAAGGTCATGACGTTGATCGAGAATAGAGAGCATGTCAATCCTTGGTCCATGTTTCCTAAAGACATGTGAAAGTAAAAAAATATGGCTTTTGATTTCTGCTCCCAAGTCCTTGTACGATACAGAGCAATGGTCTGTTTCCCTGTTGTTGTAAAGAATTTCAAGAGCTCCTTCATCAATCAACGGTGAAGTTGCCGCTGACGAGCCTCAATCACAATCTTCTTCGGGGCAGAGCTTGATCTTGCCGCCGAGCCCAAATCGACAGTTTCAGGATGAAGTTCTGGAAACATTTCACGACGAACCAAGCGTGAAACGTTCTTAACGTTCTGTTCGGCTTTGTGATGCTTCTCTTGAGCTTCCACCCATTTCTTGTTTTCGGGATTTGTTAGTAAGAACTGCTTCATTTCAGGTGATGACAGGTGACGACCAAGGATGGTATTCCACGACGGATGTCTTCAACTCCGCCATACGGCAGGGCAACCAAAAAGTTCAACGAAAACTTCCACAGAACCCGGAATCGACGAGAATCTCCTACAATGAAGTAGCATTTCCAAGGGCGATTTTTTAGACATTAAATCCAGCTGTAGTGATCTTTTTGTTAACGAAAAATCACAATAACTTAAAAAAGTGATGGGATTATCCAAATTGTGAACATTTGAGAAGCAATCTTTTTGTTAACTACGGTAGCTAGATGAATAAATTGTAGAATCCATCACATAACTACTAAGAAAATATGTTTTGATTATATCTTAAATTTTAATGATTTTATAAATATATAATTCAATTAGTGACAAATGACAATTCTAAAATTTTCAAATAGACCCATAGGATTTAATTATATATTCTAAGATTGAATTTCAATTAAAATAAATTGGAAGATAAATCTATATGTTATTGTGGTAAATTTTTATATAATTTAAATTAAAAAATGGAGAAAAGAAATTCAAATAATTTCAAAAAGTATATATATGAATAATTGATTCATTAATGAAAATTTGAATTTACAAATCATTTGGAATTTCAATGAATGTTGATATACAATATATCACGAAAAAAATATTTAACAATAAACATGAAGATCATACATCTAGTAAGTGGTTTGAAGTAGTCTTATAACTCCATGCCAATTTACTTAAGTTTGATTTTGAAAGAGAATAAAACAAAACTTGCATGAACATTTAATCGTTAAAGTATAATCTCAAAGTTGTATGTTATTAAATAAATGAAATTGCTACACATGGAAGATGAAAGTTACCATGCACTGAAATAGAATTTGAAATGGACACAATTTTTTTATGTGATACATCGATATGGACATATTAACACCTGATCAAGCAGGAGTAGAGAAGAAGACAAACTATTGTAGAAAGCATGCTGAAAATTACATTTTAAACATGACATCGAGGGTCGATCCTCTTCGTGCCACTTGTCTGTTTTCCTCGTTTGCGCCTCTCTGTCATGGAGGAGCACGTCACTAGACTTTGCGGCCAAAGGTGGGTCCTCAGGTCCGGACAGGCGAGCTCACTCCTGTCGGTCGGGCAGGACAAGGTTTCACTTCTTTTAGGTTTCGTGTGAAATCCCCGGAATTTTAAACCTTATCCTGCGAAAACCAGGAAACTAAGTTGGAATGGAATTGCGATCGATGGGTGTCCGAGAGACGTGAGAGGCGGTCGAGAAACCCGAAGCAGTGAATTTCCAACGACAACGCTGCAACGGGGAGGAAAGACAAGGAGTCAGAAGTCGGAGGGTAGAAAAGAGTCAAAAGTGAGAGGGGAGACTAGGAGCTCAGTGTCGACGACCTGCGTTTCTGCTTGGTCGTCAAGTGAATTGAAGGATCTGAGTCAAGGCAGGCCACGCGGCGTGTAACGCTGCAGGAACAGCAACCCTAAGGCAGGGAAGGAAGGTCGGGTGACAAAGGGAAGCAAGCAGAGGGAATGCTAGCGGTGTCAGTGCGACGAGCTATGCCGGTCAAGTCCGATTCGCCTCGCTTTTGTCCGAGAAGCGTGCTGTGTCTGTTCCGGACGCTGGCTCCTTAAGAGTTCGAGGAGATCGAGGTGCTCAGTGACGCACGCAGCGCCAAGTTGTGATGTAGGTTGGCGCCTGCGCCTGTTTTGCCGCGAGCAATTGCGCGGACGCAACTAGTGGACGAGTGTCAGAAAGGGCCCGCTGCTGTACGCTGGGATGTGAACGTTGGGGGAGCGGGAGATCGGCGCCTACAGATGAGGCGGAGGCGCGCGTGTGCACGGCCGCAGGTGAGTTCATGTTTAGAAGATATTACTCGGGCTTCGGTTTCTTGATAGCCGTCTTTTTTCCGTGGAAGCTCGGGAGGGCATCGATGGTCGGTGGCGGAGAGTCCAGCCGGAGCAAGAGATTGATTGGCTCAAGCTGCACGTAGGAATGTGGGTCGACGGCGTGTGTTCATAATTTTCGTCGTGAACTGGTCGAACTCGCGATTGTTATCGGCAGGGAGCAATCGCGAGACGTGCCAATGGGTGTCCCAGTGAGAGCGCGTTTGTGAAGACACATGGGGGCGTGAGCAACTGGAAAACTGTTTTGTCAGGGTTCGTAACTCCTCTCTGGGGTTGTGTTCATCTTCTTACGTAGCTAGCTTTGAAAGGGGTTCTTTGTTTGTTTTTTTGTTTTTTTTTGGTGGGTTTGATCCTGCTTTTCCGATGTCATAATCCGGAGCGATGTTGCTTAGTTCGACTCTCATCCGTTTCTCTGTAGGGGATCTCACGAGAGGTGGATGCGTACGAGGTGAGAGTCAGATTGGTGCTCTTTCTCTGCATGTCCTTCACTTCTTATAAGTCCATTGTCCCACGTATCATGTGATGGTCACGGTGACGAGAAGCTATCACAAGCTACCTATCAAACTCCTTGGAAATCTTTTTCAGTGATACGCTCTTACTCTGAGAGTGGCCTTTCAGTCTCAACAATTTGACAAATTTCAGGGGGGGTGTCTGTTCTACGTAATTGTTTCCCTTCTCCTGCTGCCGTCTTCCAATTGCCTGAGCTGACCGTGCATCTATCTCTGTAGTTAGGGGCACGATATTTCTCGATTCCAAATCCTTTTCGACTCTGTCCGCAGATCTGCGAGGTCCCATCATACCGGCAGTAAGTCACAATCACCACGAAGCTTCTTTCGAGGTCGACCAAAATTATGGTGAGCAGGTTGAAACGTTACTGGCATTCCAAGAAACAGAGAATTCATCATATGGTTGAGAGGAAGAAAAAGCGGTCCACCGCACTCCACTCTAGAGTCACTGGACATGATGGAAGACTGGAGTGCGAGTCGGTGCTGTTTTCCATTCGAAATAGGGAAGATTTTGCATCACGGAGTGAAACCAGTGAGGCTGAGGCTGGTGAAGTGGTTAAGCGTACGGATTCTCTTCTGAGTAGCCGATGGGAGGTAGATAATTTGTTTTCACAATTGCCGAATGAGATTGTAATTGACTCTATCCTCACACGACTGCCATGGAAGTCGCTGTACACGGTGTCAGCACTCAATCGTTCGTGGCAATGGGCATTCCGAAGTTGTCAAGTGTATAATGCGCGAGTCAGCAAAGGGCAGGCTCACAGTCTTATTGCCATGACAAATGCCTCACCTTTCCCAAATGCTCCGAAGGTCCTGCGTGCAATTTCACTATACGATCCCTCCCAAGATGCTTGGTACCTCTTGCCACCTATCCCCGGAGTCGAGGAGGGAATTCCTGTCGGTGGTCAGTGTGCATTTTTGAAGGGGAAGCTTTATGTGATAGGGGGTTTTACTCCGTACTCCGTCGACCTTCATGGGGACGAGGTCTTCAGTTTTGATTTGGGATCTTATCAAGGAGGATGGCGACGATGTGCCAAGCTTGACTTCCCCAGAGAAGGATTTTCATGCCATGTCAAGGATGATAAAATTTTCGTGTGCGGAGGTTTGGGTTACGATCAGCACATGTGTCGGAAGTCATATGTGTACCACCCTGAACAGGACCGTTGGACACCGATCTCTGATATGCTCTATAAGCGTTCTGGTCAGAAAATTGTTGGTTTTGGTGGAGGGTTCCGTGTATACGGAGGTAGATACTGGTCTGACAGAGTGGACAGCGAAGCAGCCATCAGTAATAGTCACAGTATTAGCGGAGGTTTGATCAGCGGACATCAGAAGAATGCCCAGATGGAATCATTTACGGAGATGTACGATCCTAGCACAGACACGTGGGTCGAAGTCGAAAATTTCGCCCAGGGCCGTGTAAGTGGCAGTTATGTTGTGTCAGCCAGTGGTGAACTATATCATGTGTATGCCGATCATATAGACAGATATAATCTGGGTTCGAAGTCGTGGGAGCGGTTCCATATTAACCTTTGGAGGGTACTGGAAAAGGTGGAAGTATCCCCTCTATGGCCTTGCGCAGCTGCGTTCGTGGACGGCGAGCTCTACATTTTGATGGCTTCCGAGGATAGAAGCGTTCTTAATGGTGAACAGTATAGAGTCATACCTCTGAAGAGCATTGGGTTCGGTACAGGCCTTATTCTTCACTGGCAGGAGGTAGGATGTCCTTACGGATTCGGAGTTTTCGGCGAGACGAACTGTTCCATCCATCACATCAAACTGTGAGCGATTCCTTCTCTCGGAGGCATGTGAAACTTTTGCGTGCTCCTTTTCTCCTAACAGGTACGACATAGGCATCAGAAGCAAGATCAATCTCAGGAGGTTGGTTGTATAGATACGAGTTCCAGCGCTTTTGCCTTTACCTTCGGCAGTTGGTTTGTGGCTGTTGGGCAACTGAGCACATCAGAATCAAAGACAACCTTGTGAATTAGTTAGTCACAGAAGAGATACTTGTTAGGTTCTTGTTAATTGTAGGATTCAATTTATCCAGCCCAAGTGAGGCCCCGTTGTCAGTATGTAGTTCGCGTTCAGCTTAACACCTGGAACATGTTGTGTATATTTATTCGACATATGTAAGAAACGTCTTCGATTATTTTCCGAATGTCCGTTCGAAATTAATGCTCTGGCTTTCTTTTCGTTCAAAGTGAATATTTTTCATCCTTTTCAAATGCTCGTAGAAGTAGTAGAGCTTGGGACGAATTGGATTGAAGTCTATGTAAAGAGCAAAGGGCGCAACGTGCCGAGTCCATCGATTGTAGTATAGGGAGGAGAGTGTCTTCAGCGTTACAAGAGTGACTCTTTCTGAAAGTGAAGAGATGTGGTGGGTCCGTAAATGTTTCCGCATCAAAATACTATTCTCCTCTTTTGGCTCGTCAGGGCGTAAGAGAAGCGGAGAATATTGAAACTGATGAGCTTTATAAATTTTTATTGAAGGCACTTGAAGTTAATCATTCGAGTGACTGCCACCGTTGTCCGTGAATGCTTGAAGGTTATATATCAGTCTTACATTGAATCGAATGTTCGTATCACAGAAGCTTTGTTGAAAGTACGCTCAGAGCGTGAGCCCGTAGCTGAAATGTCTTAAATGTACATGTGGTTGATGCGAGGAACGGTGGAATAAGGAATGAGAAGTTTATCTAGTTTCGTGGAGAGCAACCGTGCAGCCGATGATCCACGCAGGCACGAAAACCAATATAACGAAATTTACGGCTAAAATTGTTCATCAAGTGGATAATGCTAAGAGGAAACTGTATATGCCATATAAAATTAGCCGATATAAGATGAAAGGAAAGTGTCTGTGTGATTACTCAACCTAATTGTATTTGTGGGATGTGGTATGCGGTAAGCGTTTTCAAGATGATCGAGTATTCATGCACTACAGTCACTCAGCCAACTTTCAGTGCTGAACTGGAGGTGATGGAACTGCAAGACAAAAAGTGATTAATAGCATGTAAACTTTATTGGTAATGATAAAGTTTTTAAAGTCAGTTTTATACTAAGTGAGATATAGAATGGACAAAGAAATTATCAAATTCAGATGTCAATTGAGAAATTTTTTTAAGAATTAAAAAAAAAGAGCATTATAATATCGAACATTCATTAAATGAAATTTTAGTCATAATTTTTCAAATATATCCGATATAAGATTAGCAGCAAAGTCACAAATTCATCAGAGTTGAATGATATCATTGACCAAAACGTTCACAAACTTTGAAAGCTATAAATTTCTTAAAGATATTGCAATGTTTTGTACATATAATCTTTTCTCAGATTGAGAAAAAAACATTTAGACATTATAACAAAATTATTCTTCCATTTTTATGAGTGATATCTTCATTGATTATGAAGATAACTGCAATAATCCATGTCATAAATATACATAGAATGGAAGAAGATTTAAAATTATGAAATAGGAAAGTAGTAATAAACATTTTTGAGACATGTAAAGTAGCAAACGACGAGAGAAAATTTTGACGAAGATATGAAATCGTGACGTCAAATACAAGCCAGTCGAAGTGAGAAAATAGAAACTTTTTGTTTGAGTGTGAATTCATGTAGATCATGACTTCATCTGATTTTTATACTCTATCAGGTTCTATCTTATAAGATATCTTGATACTCTTCAATTTCTGGAATATATCAGAAATAGCCTATCTGGGAGGAAAGTAATGCATCCACTTGAATGCGATGCATGTTAATAAATATTAAACTTCAACTTGAAAACCAAGTATAATTTTTGGAACAGGCTTAACTGACAGTACCCTTGGCTTGTACAAAGTTGCGAACCATGATATGTAAGCGAACCATGTGGTAAAATCATGACTGGCCACCAAGAATCGAAGAAGAAGGTCTGACTTGAATAGTTTGCGGGAATTTGGAAAGGGACGGAGTGTGGAGGAATCGTGCCTGACCAGTGCTCCGGTTGAAATGTCGATCCTCCTGTGATCTGGATTGAGTCTGTTGGCGCCCGTGTGGTTAAAGTGCAGCAGAGCAATTTGAAGCAGTGTTTAATTGCAGACGCTAGAGAGTGAAGCCAGGGGTCACTGCTTGTGTTGAATGATTGGTGCAGCTGACGGGAGGGAGGAAGCGATCATGTCGTTCATCTGCGCACCGTCGTTTCCTACCAGGTGATGCATCGTCTTGTTCCTTCAGCCCATGATGTAGTAGTGTGTAGTGCGTTTCTTTTTAACGACACCAGGGGAAGAGGGAATCACGCTCGTGCAGAGTGCAACCCCCTGAAAATGAACGGTTTCAGTTTTTCTGAGAGAACGGAGGGCCAAGTAAGTAGCAAAATACATGGGTAGAGGCCAACAAGGTACAAGAATTTCTGGAAGCAGACAATTTCATCATGACTGTCACCTTGCGGCACCTTCAGTCTCCGTTTCAAGGTGTAAGGCTCGTGATCCACACCAGGTTTCTGACGTATTTGCCAGCTCAACTGGGCATCTCAATTCGCAGTGTTCACTTTTTCCTCAGAGCAGAAATTTCAGACCGAATCATATGGATTGCACTCTTTGGGCCTATGATCCTATGTTCTTTTGAAGTTTGTACTTCCGCGACCCCCAGTTTTTGTAATTCGACTGGTGCGACTGGTGGTGCACCAACACGACTTTCTAGAACTATCAGGAAATTTGGCAGGAGGCTGTTAAACCGAAAGGAGATGGCTTGAGTAAAATGTGAGGACGAATCTGTATAACGTACTTTCGAAGAACTTGTTTCCCGGATCAGTGTGAAGATTTTGAAAAGTGCTGGCTTAAATGGATAGTCTAATATTGCTCTGATGAAAATTATGCTACTATATGAAGCATGAACTTGCATAGACGTACCATATCGAAATATTACCATCTAAAAACTATCCCGGAGAAAGTTAGGAATGTTTGCAACCTTCTAAGCTCCAGCAAATGCAGTCCCGAGTTTTGGATGTTCCTGTTTGAACACCTCTCTGAGAAACTGGACGGGACATGTTGATTACATCGTTCTATAAAGCCAACATGTTATGATTCACAAGCTAATGCCTCCTTTTGTGACTCTAAGGCCATGAAACCGAGATTCCCAGCCAGCATTCTTGATACATTTTGACAAAAATTAGTAATCATTGGACAAGGAATGCACGACTTGTTCAAATGACATTGGGGGCTAAGGGTAAACTTGGCTAGAATTTACTTACCAAATGCTGGAAATGAAATTCGATGGATTAATACTCTGTCGATTTATATACACATATAAGACGTTGTGTAATTTTGTTCTCTTGTTATGTATATTTTGCCGATGCACATTCTTATCAAGCACTGAGTTTGAAGTTGAGTTCTGCCGGGATTTGCAGGCATGTTGAGTTTTTGTCAGAGTCCAAGTCGGCTATGGGGTCCCACTTACACCGTCATTGTCCTCGAGAGACTGTGTCAATGAGAGGCAAGTGCTTATTTCTCCCACGGCAGATGTTACGTTTGTTGCAATTATACTGGAGATGACCTCCCTGTAATTCGTCTTACCTTGCGTCCCTTATCACTTCCTCATGTGAGCTATATGGTTGACCTGCGTTTCTAATTCATGTAAACCCTGCCAACTTTTGCCTGTGATTAATTGAATGCTGTAGGTTCATTGAAATGTACGCACCGACTGCAGTCATCGCTGATGTGTCCACACAGACATCTAAAAGCTTCAAGAAGTGCCTATCTTCAATCGATCCGGAAGGTATTGCACATCAGCTTCCATGTACATAAGGAGGAGAGAATTTTAAGTTGGAAGGAAAGTTTTTTGTTTCAAGAATCTCCTGATGAATGTTTCAACTTCATAGATTTTATGAGCAACGTTGCTGTAATATGTTGAGATATGGTGAGTATCAATAAGAGGACAACTGGTGGTTGTTGTTAGCTTGAACGCTAGGAAAGATATATATTTACTTTCCGCTGTATTGGATTCTTAGATACAATGCAACTCCAAACTCGAGCGTCACGTCGTACAAAGCAGGTGTGTATGTTGAGCGGATGGCGTGTTTCTCTGTCACAGTTTGTAGCGTGTGCCTTTCATGTACTTGTTGCGCTTGTAATGAAGTGTATTTATCACCACCTGATGTCAGATATTGTCCTTTTTAATTGTAGTTCTATGGAGGAAATATATGACGTTCTAGCAAATCGTCTCTTCGAGACAATGGCAGCCGTTGAGCCAAGCGCCAAGTGAGAATTCCTTACGTTCTACGACCGTGTGGTTTCAGATGGTTTACACTTGTCTACTGTGTCCTTTTGGTAATAGTCTTACTGCTTACACTGGTGGGAGAAGAAGAGTGACTATATGGAGACATGTTGTCCTCTTGTTGATACTCATCATATCAGCTATAGGGTTTTGTTCTTACGGTTCTGTGAGTTTTTGTTGGATATGTTCGGGCCTTGTATTCCATGAAGACTTGTTTCGACTACTTTCTACACAATGTTGCTAGGGTATTATGTCATAACTTCGGCACCTGCTCATTGAGCTGATTTGCATTCATGAACAGATATTTAGTAGCCCTAGCAGGACCTCCAGGAGCAGGGAAGTCAACTGTTGCAAATGAAGTGGTTTGGAGGCTGAACTACATCTGGAAAAAGGAAGGATGCAGGTCAAGAGAAGGTGATGAGATAGCTGTCGCCGTTCCTATGGACGGTTTTCATTTATATCGGTGGCAGCTTGATCAGATGGAGGTATGTCATTCACATGTTCGAGGGACAGAAGATAGTCTAGTGGTTCTAGCTTATGTTCTATCGGGACGTAGAACGAACAAAGAATGTGATCTTTGTGAAACAACGCAACAATGTTCTCTCGAACGGAATGTATTGGTTGTAGGCTAATTGGCTCATTGGGATTCATGGCAGGATCCAACCGAGGCTCATGCAAGACGAGGAGGTGCGCTCTTATGCTGATCGAACACTCTTGGTCCTCTCTAAGAAAATTTTATAGAGGAGATGGAAGAATAAGATAAAGTAACCTGCGACTATTACAGAGCGTAAGACTCGAAAGGAAATAAACCCTAAAACTCTAAACGTTGATTTTCTTGACCAGTTTGCGCATGGTATGACGAGTTTGATACCTTAGTTTCCGTCACGAGTGAAGTCTCAAGAAATCATTTGGTTGTTGCTGATTGGCTGAAGAGGGACGCTTTTACTGAGAAAGTGCTACCAATGGCCAGATCGTACTCTTGCATAAATAAGAAATGAAGCTGTTGAAGCTTTGATCAAAATTCCTAACTTTCCAACTTGGATGAATTTCTCGTGTAGCTCCTTGGACTTTCGATCCAGTTGGTCTCGCGAACCGCCTGAAGACTTTACGAGAGAAGGTATTGTGTCTGGTGCAGCTTGAACGGACACCTATTTCGAGAGGAGCTTTACAATATCTGAGTAGATCAGGGTTGTCCTCGTGTTTTGTCAGTCCGTGATACCAATCAGCTCTTGTTTCAGACATATTTGAAGCCAATCTTTGGGCCTCGTAAACTCGATAGGTGATCGCATTTGTTGTTGAATAATGCTACATTTACGGGGTTTTCTGAAACAGGGTTCAGTTTCTCTGCCATCATTCGACCATGGAGTGGGAGATCCTGTTGAAGATGATATTCATGTAGAGGAGAGGTAAGCACCAAGCAAACTACATGTATTCCTAGTCTTTCACTTGCAAGAAGGTGAAATGAAGTGGTGGAAAAAGCGCTGATCTTAGAAAAGTACGAGAGTCTCTGGCAGTGCCTTTTTCGCAGATGGTGGAAAAATTTAATTTTGGCAGGTACGAAGCTAATTCAGTCGCTTTTTGTCAGGCATAAACTGATTGTGGTGGAGGGTAACTACCTGCTGTTGAATGACGGCGACTGGAAAGCTCTTGGTAGCCTCTTCAATGAACGGTGGTACGATGTAGACTGCCAATCAATATCTTAGGCTATAAGCTTTCCGATGCATAAACAAACTTTGAGAATAACGTAGGCTGGAGGAGCTGCAACGTAATTAGTGCTTTTTTCGTATTAGTTTTCTTTCGAGTACATTATAGACCATAGTATTTTGCTCTTCTCTACAGCAGATGCACAAATGTACATCCAGTTTTATATATATATTGAATTTTCTACACAATCCTGGTGTTACTCAGGAAATTTTACAACTGTGACCGTGGAACATTCTTTGCAGGTTCATTGAGGTGGACACCGATGAAGCAATGAAAAGAGTCGAAAGACGACACGTGATCACTGGTATAGATTCAGACCAGCGTCCACTTTGGATTCCTGCATAGCAAGAAAGTTACCGTCATCTTATAACGTGTTTTGACTTCGTGCAGGAAAACCTGCGGATGTTGCTCAGTGGCGTGTAAGCGACTGCACCTTATTCCCAGATTGATTCCTGAGATGAAAGGGATTGATGTTTTCAAAAGATAGAGCCCAATAAATGGCCATTCAGTGTACATGTATTTATAATCTGGTACCTTATCAGCAGATTCGGTACATCTTGTTATTGAGTTTCAAATGCTCTGGAGGCTGGACTGTGCTAGTGTGCCTCGGAGAACGTATATGTTTTGCCATGAACACTGCATAATAACAGCCTTGCATGTATATTCTATTATGACTAAGCTGCTTTGGTCCTCCTGACAGGTGGCCTATAATGATCGCCCTAATGCAGAACTTATTCAGAAATCGAAGGTGAATGCCGATTTATGGATTCGTTCTGTACCATTGAAGGTGTCCGAGTCAGTTCAATGACCGAACTGTTGTTGTTTTTCCGCGGAGAGCAACGTGGCGACATTTCCGCAGGCAGAGCCATGCATTATAAGCATCGTGATAACATACAAAGGCCTTCTCACTACGTGTTCACTTTTGTGGGGCATGTGAAGTCAAGTGGATGTACGGAAAGTTTCTGACGTGATTTTAGGTAGCTACTTATGTAGATTGTTTAGAAGTTGGCCTATCATTTTGTGGTTCATGATAAGTAACATCTACTCATATTTAATTCAATCCTATTGTTAGTATATGTTTAAAACAGTTACTCAATTTGGATTGCTTCCTCCACGTAGCATGCGAATTTTACGTCATGATTTTTTTCTTTTACTCTTTCTATTTACATCATGATGATTATCTGAATAAAAAATATAACTTTTTGGTATATGCATCTCTTGTTTGCTAACACTAAAAATTTTCTTTACTCTTTTCATCAATTGATCATTTTTTAACATTCTTTTCTCCTTGTAATTAAAATGGTTTGAAGTATTTGATTATCAAATAATGTTTCGCGTAGTTTAGTTTCATATCACTTTATTATTGTTCTCTCTAATCTTCTTTTTATTCATCAAGTGTTTTTTTAATTTGTAAAATTTTTCAAACAGAAATTTTTGATTTTTATGAACATGAAAGAATAATTTTTCTACAAATCTTAATACAGAGTATAACTTCCCAATATTGCAGACCTCCTTAAAAGTGGCATTTGCCACTTTTTTTGTTAATTGTGGCACCTAGCTTTATTTTAAACTGGCATTTGTGTCATTTAATGAAAAATTGTTGTGAAAGTCTTGAAACCATACTAGATTAGGGTCATTTCACAACAACTTCAGGCATTGTTTCTACATTCTGATTAATTTATGTTCACTTTTCTGTCATGTTCCCTTCACTCGACACCTATAGGGTGAATATCTAACGAGAATCTAGAAGGGTTTATCAACAGACCTCATGATTATTCATAGTGAGGATATTCAAAGCTCAAAGAGCTTGACCGTGAGAAAAAATGAGTTTGAATATACTGATTCTAACTATGAAAGTATTAGACTTCAACTTAATAGTGCTAACTTCCAAAATCCACGGGACGTAAATTGTATGTTTCCTCAAAACCTCAACCTAACTTGAGTGACATCACCTTTATCAATTCTAGGACTTGAGATAAACTCGGTTTCATTACCCGATTGTTTTGACATTGGAATGTTAGAATACCTACCGGTATATATGATAGTCTTTTCTTCTATGGTCGAACTTTCGTCGATAAGGAAGGAGTCTTCTACTTTAACCCACTTCAGTTCGTTGGATGTGCAGTCGAGGTATGGCACAACACTAACTAGAATAACAAAAGAAGCCGATAATCTATACAAAAGCTCTTGCATCGCCTGCCAAACATAAAATATTCAAAGTTACAGATTGCATGGGTATAAAATAACATCTAAGTGCGTGTTTAGAATTCAAATTATAAGATGGAATTTTCTTCCCTAGATTGAGGCTGTAATTGTAGGGACACATGCATGCTCTTTGGTTCCTTCTTCTCCTCATGTAACTTTGACTTTGCCTATCTTTCACGTACTTAGTGAAAAATCCATTTCCAACAATAAATGCAAATTTGATCTTCGTGATTAAACTATTACAACAGATGATCATGACTCTGTCACACATGATCATTGGCTCAAAAATAGGAATTATCTTTCCGCTCACTTACTACATATTTACAATCTGATTACTTTCTAGTTGATATTCAACTCATTGAATGTGATAGCAAAATCAAGAAGAATGAAACATAACATTGCAATTTAGTCGCAAAAATCTAATCAATTATCATTTGCATTAACTTTCATGTCACAAAATGAAATTTTTTCTATTTGATAGTAACTTTGTATTGAAATGATCAAATTAATGCCTAAACAACGTAATACGACCGTGCGTGCACAATGCCGGCAAAAGACAGATTGTGCAAATCCGTTTGTCTATCGTCTTTTTCACATTTCATGATAGAGTAGTCAAATTTGATCTAACATGTGTTCGCAAAGTTTGTTGCACAAACTCCCGAAAAATTCCTCAACATTACAAATTAGCTGGAATCGTGTTCATTGATTTGATATAATTTCATGCATCGTTGAAAAATATATTCTTTTCGTGATTTTGAAGCGTCATTTTGAGCGCATTATAGTTTTTTGATGCGTTCAGCAACTTTTTATGTTCTTCTATGATCTGATCAATATCCTTAGGTGATGAATGTTTTTTGGCATGCATTCAAATCCTATCCATAACATTGATGAATTTTTGTGTTGGCAACTTAACAATGTCAGTAGCCTAACAATGTCAACTGTCATAATTGGCAACATTTCAAGTTCACCAGCATTGTTGTTTGAGTCGTGTTCACCTTGAATCATGTACACTTGGATTACAATTGATAAAGCCAAATGATCAATTACTTTGATAATGTTGTTCTTGACATTGTGATACATTTTCAAGAATGAATCCCGTGCTCATGAAATTTGATCATCAACATGATATCGAATCAATTCAAACAAAATACATCTCTCACCGTTGAATAATATGCATTGCAAATTTTGATACTTGAAATCATTGAATAGGCCTGCAATTTTTAGGTTTACTACTCACTCAAGTTTAACTCACATAACTTTGCAGTAGTTCATCATGGATTCAGAAAGCTAGGATTGCTCATCATATTCATAATTCAAACACACTTTCACACATTTTTTTCATTCATCATTCAAGTTCATATACATATCAACACTCTAAAATACTAAAACCTCACTCTTTCATTGATGAAGCAAATCTCTATACATGAACTTGTTGAAGATTACTTTACTATATATATATTGTTTGAGAAGTTAATGTAGTAACGAATGATAATTATCATCTAAATTATTTTCACAAAGATATATTATAGTAGGTTTGACCGATTCCAATACGTGGCAACATACCATTGGTAGTCTAAACCTTCTAAACAGTTTCAACAACATGTTGATGAATTCCACGTAATACATCTATGGAGGTTCATCAACACACCGTCAACACACAATTGAATTCACAAATCCAACAATGGTATTTTTTAATGCGTTGAACAATCAGCGGCCAATAAGAACATCCACACAGACTATTTGCAAAGCACTGTTGAAATTAGTTGTAATGATAATGCAAGCACGATCTTCGCAAAATTGCCAACCATATGATCAATTTAACGTTCTTAGTGCAATTTTGGTGTTGGCTAATTACAGTAGTAGTCTGCTTAAATGATAGACCCGCTATTGTTTCATCAATAGATAACCAAAATCGTAACGGATTTTTGATAATGACGATATACTTGATAACTACCTTGTTGACTTTCATTTTGAACAACTTTATAGCATTTGACTTCAAGATTGGTTCCATTTCATTATCGAGCTCATCCAGCTATGGTTTGAAGAACAAATTGCCAACAAGATCATCGATTATTTTCACGTTGCAAATTTTGACAGTGAAAACTTCTGATTTTTGATACATGTATGAGTGTATTTCGCTGTTTAGTTTCTCATCAAAATATTTATTCTTCTACTCAAAAGACAAATATCGATATATTGCTCAATTGTTTATTTGTTGCGTCTAAAGATGTTTTGTTATAGCTCGGGTTAAAACGGAGAGTGAATTAGTTGATTGTTTTTAGTGCGTTTTTGCTTCAAGCCATCATCATCATTCATCATCTTCTCAACTCTCTCTTCGATCTAATATGCAAACTTGACATTAAGTTTTTTTCATCTTCTTGCTGCATGCAAAGTATTTTCCAATTTTTAGACTATATTGAATCTTATGTATGTTATAGAATGTCATTTCACATAACATCGAACTGTTGGAAAGTGTAGCAATTCCATACACGTCGGAGTTACTATGGTGATCCGCAGTGCACTTCGTAAAGATTCAATTGCATACAAGAAATCATCATACCCGATGCATAATCTTTGAGATTGGTTCCATTTCATCGATCAAAGTGACAACTTTCAATACGAGATTGTTGTTATCGTTGAACTGTTGAGATCTCTACTACTAAAAAATACACTTCAAGATCAATACAGATTTAGCAAACATATTCGTACATGTAGACAAATCAAAAATCCAAAGTTACAAGAATTTAAAAACCTCAAACACATCGTCATCAAAACTCCAACAAAAAAGCAAAGCATCTACAAAAGATGGATATACTTACTCAAAAAAAAAATGATACGAACTTGATAGTATACAATTTTTTCACTCTCACTGGAAAAAAAAAAAAGTTGGAAAAGAAAGTGTTCAAATCTTTGAAACCTTTCTTTTAAATTAGATTAAATAAAGTGTTTTTCAATTTGTGTTATGTAGGATCTGTTAATTTGTAGTATAATATAATTTTGTGTTATGATATAATTGTATTAGAGATCAATGAGTAATCAAAACGCTTGTAATCATCGTAAGTTAGAATACAGATATCGTCGAATCTGACAGTAAATTCTTCTTGCGTCTTTTATGAGCCTCGTGGATATGCTTCTTGCAATGACCTCATGAGGTTCTCTACGCTTGAAAAAGTGCCTAGGCATCGACAATAGTTCAGAGAGAAGCATCATCGACAGTCAAGTATATGTCTGAGCTATGTGCTGCGTGGTGAGAATCGAATTGTAACCATAAAAGTACGGTGTACAAAGTTCGAGTAACGTGAGATGAGTTTGAGCGAACCTTTCTTCCACGGGGTACAACACCAGCACAGTCCCTGACGGCTGCGCCTTGAGCCAGGACGAGACCGCTCGGCGAAAGTCCTATGTTGTTACAGAGGCTCCAAGTTCTCGTCAAGCAGCCACGGTCTCACGATGTAGAGATCTTCTCGAACGATTGATGCACTCTGTTGCAGCTTGCAAATTTCACTCAGGACACAAGATTGACGACTTGGCCTCTCTCTTTTGCTCTCACTGACGATTACTTTGGATAGACACGCTGAGTCGTAAGTTTTGTGTAGTAGTACGAAGGCGAACAGAGTCAAGCTTCATGAAAGAAGTCATAACGGCCAGAATGTTCCGTGGGAGTGCAGCTGCAATCACCAGACCAGAATGAGATTTCGGGTAGGATGAGGCTAATGAGATAGCTAAGAAGCCGAGTTATTTCACTCTGCCCTAGATTATCTTGCAGAAGATAGCGTAGTCAGTAAGTTACCTAGTTCTAGTTTTAGCTATACGACTTGCGGCCTGCAATGTTTGCTCGAGGCGGCGCTAACAGATTGCAAATTGCGAAGCTCAGGTCTCTAACCTTCGTCAGATCTGGTGTTTGGTGTGAAGTTAAACTCGAGGGCCGTGGGCACTAAAGTGCTAAGAGAGTACTAGATTAGAGCACTTGGGTGAGTTGCGCTGTGAAATGGA